TGAAATCATGTCCAGGACCGTTCTTCCTGTGGGGACTTAAAGCCTCTTGACATACTCCATTTGCATTTTCAACAGCTAATTGTTTCACGAGTATCATTCCAGCCTCAGGGTGGGCCACAACCCTGCCTACGGCATAGAACAAACAGCCACAAAACCCTGATACGGGCTCCCCAGGGCCCTGCCTAATCATGCTTATGTCTAGAGATTATCCCCTTTTGTTGGAAGTTGCCTCCAGGCTTTGGCGGCACAGATTTTTATCTGCTGATAAGCTCGCATGGTGTATACTAACTGAGCCTGAAAAGCCCCATGAGGTCTGGTGCCCATGAGCATATCAATTGTAAGGGGTACCTCATGACCTTGGTTTCTGTTAGCCTGCTCCGCACTAAGCTCTGCCCAATTAGGTTTCCATAATAAGTAATCTCCAGGTGAGAGAAGCCTTCGCGACAGTATTCCAGTCACCAGGAGCCATAGCTTCCTCAGATACTGCATCTAGTAACCTCGGCACAAAGCGGGAGGTTGGTCCATACATAGGACAAGAAGTGTTCAACTCCTTCAAAGTTTTAAAAGGCTGATGGCCACGGAGCATCTGACCTGGATTCTGAGGATCAGGCTGTTCAAATATAGGATATAGACTGAATCTTGAAGTATCTTCCCCAGCCTGCCTGGCCTCATACGAGTCTGCTGGAGTAGAGACAAAGGCACTATATTTGTTTCTGCTTGTTTTAGGGGTAAAAGGAGAGGCTTATGAGCAACAGTAAACTCCCCGGATGCTAGCATCAGACCCCCACCATCTCATTCCCACTGGCGCTGTTCCCTTGCTGCCTCCTCCTCCAGTTCTCATTCATTTTGGGGAGGAGCACATTGTTCAGAGGCTCTCCCCCACAGGAGCTGTAGCCCCAGGGACTGGAAGAGGCAGCGGAGGCGCCAATGGTACAGTGGAGATGGAAGCCTCTGGTAACCTTCCCCCATCTGTCTTTTTTTTTTTTAATTGTTTTATTGCTTAAAGTATTACAAAGAGTATTATATATGTCTCCTTTTTTTTTCTCCCCTTGACCTTCCCCTAGCCTCCCCTACCCCCTAGTGTCTGTGTCCATTGGTTATACTTATATGCATGCATATAAGTTGATGCTCCTGCCACATTCATTCATTCCTTTTCCGAAGTGGGCTCTAGGCAGTTCTGAATCAGGGACCACAGACTAAAAGTAGAGGCAGGAATTCCCTCTGGACCTTCAGCTATGTAATGATCTATAACTTGCTTTCCTACCTTCTCCCATGCCTCTACATTTACCTTTCCTTCCTCAAGAAACTACGGGCAAGTTTTATTTACAAAATCTAACAAATAAAGGAGCTGTTGATGTCTAACAGAACAGCCCCATGCTTGAAGCATAGCTTTATTTATTATTTTTTAAAATATTTATTGTTCAGATTATTACAGTTGTTCCTCTTTTTGTCCCCCCCATAGTTACCCTCCACCCGGTTCCCACCCCACCCCATGCCCTTACCCCTCACCACTGTCTTCGTCCATAGGTGTATGATTTTTGTCCAGGCTCTTCCCACACCCTGCACCCTTCCACCCTGAGAATTGTCAGTTCACTCCCTTTCTATGCCCCTATTCTATTATATTCACCAGTTTATTCTGTTCATCAGATTCTTTTATTCACTTGATTTTTTGAGATTCACTTGTTGATAGGTATGTATTTGTCACTTTGTTGTTCATAATTTTTTTTATCTTTACCTTTTTCTTCTTCCTCTTCTTAAAGAATACCCTTCAGCATTTCATATAATACTGGTTTGGCGGTGATGAACTCCTTTAGCTTGTTCTTATCTGTGAAGCTCTTTGTATGACCTTCAATTCTGAATGATAGCTTTGCTGGGTAGAGTAATCTTGGTTGTAGGTTCTTGCTATTCATCCCTTTGAATATTTCTTGCCACTCCCTTCTGGCCAGCATAGTTTCTGTTGAGAAATCAGCTGACAGTCGTATGGGTACTCCCTTGGAGGTAACTACT